TAAATGTGACCGAAACGGTCACATTTTTCAAAATGTGACTGTTTCGGTCACTTTATCAACTGTCACTGACTTTTGTCAGTGACCGTTTTAGTCCCCTAATTTTTTTCTTCTTTTCTTTGACCATTAACGGTCACTGAATTTTTTCAGTGACCGTTTTGGTTCTTATATTTTGTTTTTTTTTCTTTTCTTCTTTTATAAATAGTGGCATTTAGCCACAAAATTTTCTACAATTCTCTCTCAACTCTCAATTATTTTTCTCTCAACTCTCTTGTATTGTGTTGATAGTTGTGCAATTTTTTTATACAATTTATACAATATCCAATTCTCAATTCTCATTTCTCACTATATTTATTGAAATTTCATTTAATTTTCGTTTCTCACTACATTTATACAATTATTCTTGTACTAGTTATTACTTATTATAACTAAACAAATGGATCCACGCTCATTTGTTGAAAACTTGTTCGGTGTGGGAGGAAACGAATCGCCTATGACATCGTAAAGTCAATTTCAAAATTAATTTGAAGGTCTAAATGACGTACCCCTACCTGAAAATATTCCAGATTTGGATCTTCATCATCATGTAAGCGGCAATCCAAATTATCCAATTAATTTGGATGATATTGACATTTCCGAAGCGGAACACGATCAGGAAGAAGAGGTTGAATTAAACATTCCTGATGCAAGGGGAAAGCGAAAGGGGAAAAAACAAGCAAAATGTTGGGATCACCTTAAGTTGATTTCAACGGGAAAAATCGTCAATGGAGTCCAAGAATCCAAAGCAGTTTGTAAATACTGTCAACAAAGATTGGCATGACAAAGAGGAATTGGTACCACCCATCTCAACCATCATTACAAAGTATGTGCGGCCAAACACGGACTTATTTCAGGCCGTCAAACACAATTGCAATTTGGCAGTCCAGAGACCGGTGGTTCTATTGCACCCCTATCTTCATGGGTGTATTCGGATGAGAAAGCTCGAATCGAAATGGTGAAACTTGTTACTGGTGCTGAGTTGCCTTTAGCATTAATTGACAATCAACACTACGTCTCGTATATGAAAGAATATCTGCAACCAAGGTACGTTGGGGTAAGTCGAAATACTCTTCGTTTCGATACAATATAATAATTTATTTCAATAAAACGACAATTAATTATGGATTTGCAAAAATATGGGGGTGTCATATTTTTAACTTCAGATATATGGGAAGGGATTAACAAAAGAGCATATATAGTTGCAACTGCACATTATATAGACTCACTTTCGTGCATGCATAAAAAAATTATTGCTTTTAGAATTATTGAGTTTTTTCACAACGCTAATAATATATTTAATACTATTATTAGTATTGTTAGAGAATATCATTGCGAAGGTAAAATTCGTTCATTTACTTTCGATAATGCTAGTGTTAATAAAGTAGTTGCTGAAAAATTACGTAGGGTACTACAACCTGATTTTGGTGGGTATTTGTTTCATATTCGTTGTGTATGTCATATTTTGAATTTAATTGTCCAAGATGGTTTAAAATATATAAATGATGAACTTCAAAATATTAGGAAGCACTAATATATATCACAATCTCTCCAAATAGAAAACAAGTATTTGGAGATTATTGTGTTTATTAAATAGGAGTGCAAAATGTTAAAACATTTGTTAGCGACGTAGGTCATAGGTGGAACTTTACTTACTTGTTATTAAAATCATGTGAAGGTTTTGAACATTTAATAACTGACTTGTATAATAATAGACATGTTAGAAGTGATGACGAGAGTATTTTGATTGAACGTGATTGGCATTTAGTTTTGAAAGTTAAAAATTTTTTGACATCTTTTTATGAAATCACTAAAATCTTATCTGAATTAATTGATTATTTCAATCAAAATATGTCAACAGATAAAACAATTAAAAAAAAGTTCAGACGAAGTAATTGAATTCTAGCGAAAGTATGAACGACATTGGCCAATTATATCTGCGATTGCAAAAGATCTGCTGACACCTCCGGTTAGCACTGTTGCTTCGAAATCTGCTTTTAGTGCAAGTAAAAGAGTTTTGAGCGAAATCAGGAGCCGATTGAAAGAAGATATTTTAGAAGCGTTAATGTGCGTTAAGGATTGACAGGACGCTCATTTTCGACTACAAGATAAATATGCCGAAATTGCATGTCGTGAAGTAAGTGATATTTGATTTAATTATATTTATGAAACTTTTCTTTTCTTATTGTTACTTTTAATTTTCTTTAAAAAATTGTACGCGTACAATTTTTAACTCCGCCTACTGAAAATTTAAATAGCTGGTCCCAAATCCGGATAAAGGAGGAGGGTTTATATTTTATCTATTTTAAAAAAAAAAATAAAAAAAGTAAAGCTTTCATTTTTATTTTTCTATCTCTTTTAGTTAAAAAAAAAAATTACATTTTTATTTTTCAACTTACCTATTTGTTTTCCAAAAAAAAAATAAAATTGAAAAACGACGTCTACTCGCAAGCCGAGCTTGGCCATTTTTGGACGAGCCGAGCTCGAGCTTTCATGGGCCGAGCCGGCTCGGCTCGATCCATTGACAACCCTACCCAAACATGATCTCGAGCTTGCTTGATGGGGGGGCACCCCTATAGTAGTATAGAGTATCTAATCAAGTAGAATTTGATAGAGATCCGGTCAAGGTTTAGGCTTTTTTCTTAACTAGTCTATGACTGGATTGGGTCTGAATTGTGCTGAGATTGTGGACGTATAAGGATAAGTTTCAAGGATATCACTAAAAATAATCATTAATGATAGGAAGTGCTACTTCATAAACCTTTAATTTCACTTTTGCTTTGTAAATACCATTTTTATTACGATTAAACACGATCCAATTTGGTCTTGATTAAAATAAAAATATGATTGAATCGAGTATTAATAGGAACTATACACATGATACCAAAAAACATGATGTACCGAACTGTAAAAATGTTGATTTTTCTAGATAGATATCAATTAATGTGAATTAACAATTAATTTAATGTGTCATTTAATTGTGATATTATACAAAATAATTTAAAAATATAATTTCGAGTCTCTAACTAGAACCATGAAATGTTGATGTTAAAAAAGTAGTTACTTAACTAGAAGTGAATCAATCGGATAAAAATGTCCATCCTTGATTTTTGTGGTCAAATCCCATGCAAGTTTTCAAAGAATAACTTCAAATAAAATATAAAAAATGTACGTACGTCTTGAAGATGTGTCTTTGAGTAATGGTTTAATGAAACCGGCCATATCTCGTCTCAAATACGCACAATAGTTCTAGTCTTCTAGACCTACTCGTAAAACAAATTCTGATTCTAAATAAAATGCATTAGATAAAGGCAGTGTTCTAATTCTAAAAAACGTAGGCCGAGCTTTGGACTAGGCGAGACCTAAGTGTGAAAAAGAGTTTTCTTATTTTAATATTATTTTAATTTAAATTATTTAATAATTGAAGAAAAAACATAAAAGGCGAGCGGCGAGAAAAAAAGAAAAAAGAAAAAATAATAAAATAATAATTAGAAAAAGCGAAAAAGGTGTGAAGCGAGGTGTTTTGCTCTGGTTCCCTCCTAGATGTCACTTTTTAGAACACTGGATAAAAGCATATCGATTGATTAAGCCTATATTTGGTGGCCATTATTGAGAAAAAAAGTTATTTTGAACAGTGATTTTTTAGAGAATGTATGATTAAAAGTATAAAAAAAAAATTTGGTTTACGTACAAAATATTTTATCATGTGAACATGTAGTTGAGAATGCGTATGAGAATTAAAGAAATTTATTTTAAAGGGAGACAAATGGGGGTCTAAACTCAACTTTATGCCTTTGTTCGATTCCTATTATTTTCAAATTACATATTTCTATCCCTTATTTTCAATCACATCTTTTAATAAAATAATATTACACGTAAATTAAATTTTTTTCTTTTATTTATTAATCACATATTCTCCATCAAAATACTATTTTACTATGCATTTTGAAGTAAAAATTGGGGCTCAAACAGGATCTATATAAGGCCCTTTGTTTGTCCTGAATTTTAATGGAAATTTAGGGAAAAAAAATTCTGAAATAGTATTTTTTTTTTTATGAATGTGCGATTAATTATTTATGTGAAATATTATTTTATGAAAGAATATGTGGTTGAAAATAAATTTTTAAAAAGAATTAAACTACTTTGCCCAAAAATTGATGACATCCTCTGACATGCATGTGAATTCCACGTGAACAAAAAAGTCCAAAATAAAAAGTGGACCCCGCCATTGTGAGGGTCGACTACTCCCCTCTATCAACCATTTTCGATCGCTGGAACGTAATTGTTTAAAAAATGAGGATAAATCTCTCAATTTTCTTTATTCCTTAATCAATAATTTGTTAAATTTATCATATCGTAAACATGAAAAAAATCCCATAAATTTAGAGGCAGAACATTAAACATATTGCAAAATTGTGGCGAAAGGAAGACGTGAAAGAAAAAATATGTCTGCTTTAAAGATAATTTGAGAGAGTAGAAAATGAATAATGAATATATTTGAGACGTGAAAATGAATTTTTAAGGTATATTTATATCCATTCATTTTTATCCCTTGACCAATACACCTCAGCATAGATTCAGACGAGCAGATGTTGTCTCCGCCACGAATTATTTAGGATTAGGAACACGCAAATTCTTTAGCTTAGGTGGTTGTCTGTACTGCCTGTGGACCAATCGGTGCAATCGATGTCCCCACCAACTTCTACAATGAGTCAATGCGTGATTATCTTAATCACAATTATTGTTCGAATTTTATTCACGAACCCTTATAAAGATTTTTCAATCATCTTACTCGTACAATTTTATTTACACAATCATGAATGACAATCTTTACTGACATCATCATATCCATTCATTTTTTAAATTATCAAAAATTATTTTTTAAATCATAGTCTAAATTTTATCGACTCTAACATTGTCAACAATGTCTATGAATTAACATTGTACAAATAGCTTAATTCAAGAAGTTTCCTTCTGTGTTGAGTTGAGAGGAAAACAACTTAAAATCAGCTTATTATGAGGTCCATTCCTCATTAATAGTTGCAATTATTGTGAACTCTTGATTGATCCTTGAAGCTATTTTAACCTATTCAAATTCCAAGAGCAGCTCTGTTCTAATGGCTTCATCTTAGTTCAAATTCAAGAACATCCCTTTCTTCTTTCTTTATCCCTCTTGAAAGTTTAGTATTTAGCTTCCTTTTTTTCCCCCTGAAATTTCATTATTAAAATTCTCTCTCTCTCTCCATATTTTTTTTTGCTAAAGTTTAGAATTTTCTTGCTGATTTGGACTTGTAAAGAATTGATATAAATTGGGATTCGATTTGTTTTTTTGAGTTGAACTGCTGGTTTGTGCTATGATTTACTTGCTGGATTTGCTGTCTGAATTATAGGTTTGTAAGATATATATATATATCTCTCTCTCTCTCTCTAGTTATAAGTAATTAACCGATGATTGATTGCTTTTGATGCTTATTATTTTATTCAGTCTCTCTTTCTATAAACGTTTTATTATACTTTAATATGAACCTTATCTGTTATACTAATAATTGTAGGAGTCGATGGTACCCACCCCCACTAAACTCTTTATTACTTTTTGTTATGCATTAATTTAGTTTCTTGGGACTTGGGTTTCTTCAGGTGAGTTTTTTCCTTCTCATTTTTTTGATATTTTGGGTACAGAATGAAACAAGTACATTGGTTTTTGATTTCAAATTGCTTAAAATTGAATTCATTGGCTTGAATTTGTGTATTAACTTTGATAAAAATCTTCTATGCAAACTTTAATAGATTTGATTTTATGTGTTTTGATCGGATTGGGATTGCTTTATTCAGATGAATTCAGTCCTATTTTTTGAGTGAAGGGAGTATGAGAGGCACCATTAATTCGACCTAATTAATTTGCTCAGTTACATTGTATTCAGCGGAATGCTAATAAAGAAAGTAGAAGGGAGGAAAGAATTTACAGAAAGTGGATTCCTGGTAGAATGGATTGATTGACTTGCTTCAGTAATATAAAGCCTGAAAATAGTATAATGTTTGTGCAGAAAAAATTCTTTTGGGAAGGATACAGACGCAAAGTATAAGACAACTAAGCAGGAAGGACGAAAACTAACGAGTATAACACAGAATGAGTCAACCCAAAGTTAAGCGCAGAATTGGTAAATATGAGGTTGGAAGGACAATTGGTGAGGGCACATTTGCAAAAGTGAAATTTGCTAAGAATTCCGAGACTGGAGAACCCGTGGCTCTTAAGATTCTTGATAAGGATAAGGTCCTTAAGAACAAAATGTCCGAACAGGTCAGTGTTTTCTTGCTTTGTATTCATTAACTTTGAAGTTTCCTTATTGACTTTTCACCATATCTCATTATTAGGATCAAATGCCTTTTTTCTAGGTTGTTTTCTACAGAATATATATCTTTAGTATGATGCTTCTTTGCTATTTATAATTCAGTAATTAAAAAAACTAATTTTCTGGTTAAGGTTTGATTTTTGATATCATGTGTGTAATGTACAGATAAAACGGGAAATAGCAACAATGAAATTGATAAAACATCCTCACGTTGTTCGCTTGAATGAGGTCTCTCTCTCTCTCGCGCGCGCGCGCACTCTGTATGTGGTTGTGCGTGAATGTCTAACTGTGCGTGTACATATTTTTACTGCATATCTTATATCTCTAGTTCCTTCAGGTGATGGCAAGCAAAACCAAGATATTTATTGTTTTGGAGTTTGTCACCGGGGGAGAACTCTTCGACAAAATTGTAAGCCGTAGATTTTTCTAAGTAATGGGTTTTCACCATCTTATGTAAAATGCAATTGATAACCATGAGCTCGGGAGTTAGTTTAGATTTGCCTTCCTCTGCTGTAATGTCGACTTGTCATTTGCTGGACTGCAGGATATGCTGACACGATGAATGTTAGATTTTTAGCACATTTGATCAAGCTCAAAAACTTTATTTTAAGTAAATAAGTTTGTTTTAAAATAAATAACTTTTTTACTGGTTCTAAGTTGAAATGAATAAGTTATATGTTTTGACAATGAGATAAGAGTTACTTTTAGAACAAGCAACTTTTTTTACTCAAAAATAAGAAAAAGGTAATTTATTCAAGCATATTTTGGAACAAAGTTACTTAAAAGTAGCTTTTACCTTCATCTCTCTTTTTTGCACTGTGCAAAATGGATATGGTGTGTAATTTGACTTTCCAAAATGTAGGTAAATCATGGTCGGATGCAGGAGGACGCAGCACGGAAATATTTTCAGCAACTTATTAATGCTGTTGATTATTGCCATAGTAGGGGAGTATATCACAGAGATCTAAAAGTACTGCTTCTAGCAACTTCTATTTAAAAATTAAAATAGATATCCTAATTTGGGTTTTCCAGACATAAATCTAATTTTACTCTTTATCCCCATACGTGTGTAATGGTGCAGCCGGAGAACTTGTTGTTGGATGCTTCTGGAAACCTCAAAGTTTCTGATTTTGGATTGAGTGCTCTGTCCTGGCAAATCAGGGTGAATATGATGTCATGGCCTTCATATTCTCTTACCTCTGTCTATCATCTTTCACATTGTTTATTTTCCTTAGTAGCTTTAAAACGTTTTGTAATAAGAATGGTTTAATGTAAGTATCTGATAAGCAAAAGGGCATTAGACACTAAATTCTTATTTTCACAAGTGACAAAATCGTGTCGCTTTGAGATTACATAATTTTGAAGGCTGCATAGGACAATGCATACCACTCTTTCATTGAATATGCACTTTGGATTAATTTTAGTTACAAAAGCAAGATTTTTTTTAGAACTCAACATCTCATTTTTATCATTTAATGCAACCAAAATAGAATATTTACATAACTGATTTGGGCAGGACGATGGTTTGCTTCATACTACTTGTGGAACTCCAAACTATGTTGCTCCTGAGGTACAACCTTATACCTTGAACATATGCACGTTTTCCTATTACTTTTAGGCCTGAAAAATTAATTAACATTCTGCATAGGTCCTAAATGATCTAGGCTATGATGGAGCAACTGCGGACTTGTGGTCATGTGGAGTCATACTCTTTGTATTGCTTGCCGGTTACTTGCCTTTTGATGATCCCAACCTTATGAATCTGTATAAAAAAGTGAGCGTTTGGAATTTATTTCCAATGTTTACACAGTTTTCTCTATCATCTCTGTTTCATCATTTCTTTTGTCGCTTATCCAGATTTCTTTAGCCGAATTCACTTGTCCACCATGGCTTTCCTTAAGTGCAAGGATATTGATTACTCGAATCTTGGATCCAAATCCCATGACCGTAAGCACAATGATTTTTTCTTCTTTTTTTTGGGGGGATGAGCTCTCTGACATGTAACTTGTATACGTATTTTTGTAATTAGAGGATCTAAAGAGTGACATATAGCACGATCGGCTTAGCTTCAAAAAAAAAAAAAAAACCAATGCTTTCCCTTACAATATATTTGGTAGGAAGTACAAATGGGAAGTTTAGGATGGGGTTTTGCAGTCAAGAAGTCGTCAATTTACTTGTGCCTTCAACATGTTATTTATTTATTTCTTCTTCTCCATTGCTGTGTTTTTCTTGCCTTTTTCCCCTTCTTTTCATGTCTTAAGCATTGTGCAGCGGATCATAATCCCTGAAATTTTGGAGGACGAGTGGTTTAAGAAAGATTATAAACCACCAGTATTTGATGAAAATTACGATACAAACTTGGATGATGTTGAAGCTGTATTTAAAGACTCTGAGGTGAGCTGATGTGGAACAGTCAATGACAGACTTCGGGGCACGACTAGATTTTATTCATAAAATGGTCTATTGAATGCATATTCTATTGCCTATGACAGGAACATCTTGTCACAGAGAAGAGGGAAGAGCAGCCAGCAGCATTGAATGCGTTTGAGTTAATTTCAATGTCAAGAGGTCTCAACCTTGGGAACCTGTTTGATGGAGAACAGGTAGGAACTTTCCTTTTTTATTGACTTTCCAGACTTGGAGTTTATATTTAGTATGTTCATTTATTCGAGATCAATTGTCCATTAAGTAAAGAGGTAACTGACCGGTTCAGGAGGTACATTATTCACCCATACATGAACAGATTGGATAACATGCAAAATGGTAGAAAAGAGTATTATAAATCACAATGCAATAATGCATATTTAAAGATAAACGGTGAAACGTTTGAGAATAAGATGTGATGATGTTAGGAAACTTCTCGAACAAAAGCTCTAATACTATATTAATTTTTAGACAATTTCTAATAGTGTAACCTGTTCGAAAGAGTTTATAATCATTAGAATTTGTTAATGTGAAGAACAGAAAATAAAAGGTCTCCTCTCCTATAACTTGAATAAATAAATATTTTGCAATTTCAATGGCACAATGGCATATTCAAGAATTGTATGATTCCTAAGCCTAAGGCATATTTGTAGAATTAATAAGAGCATATTTGCCCAAGCTTTAATGTTGACTGATAAGTAACAAAGTGTAACGAATTAGTGTTTCATTGGTCTAGTTGGAAATAAGTAAGTTATCCAAACAGACACTAATTTAGCTGTCAATAAGAAGATGACAATTTACTATCTAGTTTAGGGAATTTTACATGCATATACAATAAAATATCTGTAATTTACCCTTAATTATCTGTTGTTTTCCACTCCATTTGGGTAAAGGAATTCAAGAGGGAAACAAGGTTCTCGTCCAGATGCCCAGCAAATGATATAATTAATAAGATTGAAGAAGCTGCTAAGCCTCTTGGTTTCGATGTTCGAAAGAAGAACTACAAGGTATTCAATTTTTTTTAATGCTCGTAAAACTGTCATTGTACAAATAGATAGTGCAATTTTATCTACCTCAGTGAGGATCGGAAGTGGTATTGTAATAAAATTAAAAAAATCTTGACTCCACCCTAATTGATCCCAGATGAGGCTAGAAAATGTGAAAGCTGGAAGAAAAGGAAACCTTAATATTGCCACTGAGGTATGTTACCATGAATGCCAATCATCTTGTTTATTTGAGTTCAGTTTTATGTCCAAGATTTGCAACAATTTCTTATGGTGCGATGTTTGTGATCAGGTTTTCCAGGTTGCGCCTTCTCTGCATATGGTTGAGGTTAGAAAGGCAAAGGGAGACACGCTAGAGTTCCACAAGGTATACGAGTTTGCCACAATTTCGTTTTACCATTTTAGCTACTGATAAAATTTAATTTTATCATGAAATGTCATTTTGTGTTAATATGAAGATGCTAAAAAATATGTGACATGCTAGCTTGATATTTCTGGTGTGTTCTCTTCTTTAATTTATTTCCCTTCGTAGAAGACACAAGGTTGGGGGCCATCGGCAGTTCTCCATTTCGCAATCTAATCAGTTGGGTTAAGGAGATAAATTTTTAGGTGTTATGATTTAAGAATTTAAATGAAAGGAGAAAAATGAGTTAACATTGAGCTGATGTTTAGAACTGATTTAGCGAGGAAAAGAAAGAGGGTAAATTTCCTTTCTGAGTGATAGTCTTAACTCAACTAAATCTTTCATCATATGAGCATATCTTCCACAGAGTGCCACTTCCTACTAGAGAAATTTCCTAAACGCAGGGTAAATTGTGGATTGTTATGATCAGTCTTGATGCCATGAGACTAAAAAATTGGAGGATACCATGATCGCGACTAGATGGATTTAACCGAGAAAGTTCTGCTTAAGTTAGTCTGCTTTGCGAAATCAAGATATCTTCAATGAGCTACTCGTCGCCCACCCCTACCCTTCTTTCCATAGCTGCTGGTGCAGAGATTGGTGATTCTTCTCAGGTGCCATCTAGGGACAAAACTAGCTTGAGTAGAGCAATGATTCAAAATATCAACAAAGATGTCCCAAGTTTTAGGAACCTGGAGAAGTCACGTGTGTGGGATGCGGGGTGCTTTAGTTGAACATCTGGTTTTCTTCTGGTTTTACAGACTTTCAATGCATTGACATCTTATTTGTGGTGCTCGTTGTGATATAAGAATTCCCCGATTTTAATATTCTTTCATCATCCACAAAAACCAACTTCTAGAAAATGCCATCATCTCTGATTAGTAATGGCAACTTTTGCTGATGTCGTTTCTCTTTTACTTTTGTTATCCGTATTTCTGGTGTGCAGTTCTATAAAAACCTTTCAACGAGCCTCGACGACGTAGTTTGGAAAACTGAAGATGACATGCAAGAGAAAAAGTAGTACCTTCTGTAGTGAAGAAAATGAAACTCACTTCTGGCGTGGACTACTTAGAAATCTTATACAGGTTCTGGTTCTTCATTCTTCATTCTTCATTCTTCATTCTTCATTCTTTGTTTATTTTGTTTTTCTTTTTCATGGAATTTTTCTCTCCAGCAGTGTCATGATAAAAACATCGTGCAATTTGTTTCTACAGAACTCGCTTCTTGAATCTTGAGCACAAGTTTTTCTGGTTCAGTGCTGGAGAAAATGTCGTCACACATTGTTGGATAAGATTGAGCAGCCTAGAGAACCTCGACATTTTCTTAGTATATTAAGGATTGTATTATTTTATGTTTAAGCTTGCGTTTGGCTGAGTGTAATAAATTGAATAATGAATAATTTTAATACAATAAGCGTTCTGAGTAAATTTTACAAAAGATTGGACTACAGATTACAATCAAACAACATAACTCATTTCTTAATATTATACACGTTAGTATTGTTTACTTTAAATTTTACAAAAGATGCTGGCTTAATGATAAAATCAAATGACAACAAAATGTTAGTAACAGCAAATCCTGGCTTAATGATAAAATCAAATGACAACAAAATGCTAGTAACTGCAAATCCTGGTTTAATGAGAAAATCAAATGAAAAGCTGATACAATTCGTTCCCCACAAAATGAACTTTTATCTTATAAAATCAAATGAAAAGCTATTGGTGCTTGACAGGCTGAGAATTTTTCTTACTCCAATGCTAGAACCACTGAATAAAGGCCACGCACAGTTAATTTGGTCTAATTTTTATTTTTATTGTTTTTCACACCCATTTTCACCTCCTTTTCTCAATTAAAAAAAAAAAAAAATGTCAAATGTCAAATATGCCCTCCTTTAATTGAAAGGTTGGGATGGATAAATTTGCCATATTTTGCGAGGACTAATAAGGATAAGAAGAAAAACTTTCCTTCTATAAATTAAACCTCAACCTGCATTCACAAACTTATTTTTCAAAACAATGATAAAAGTTACACTTTATCTCGAAATAGCTGTTCCAGTGGGCTTATGTCTCGTAGCTATTGGATATTAAACGTTTCTTAGGCATAGTCAAAATGGCGATAATGACACCCCCTGTTGTAATAACGTTCAGATCATAGGCATCAATATTTAATTTTTACTTCTGCTATGGCTGTCAGTAGCTATTAATTATTTCAAACCTTTGTTTGATGGATAAGTATATTCGTATGTAAGTTACACTTTATCTCGAAATAGCTGTTCCAGTGGGCTTATGTCTCGTAGCTATTGGATATTAAACGTTTCTTAGGCATAGTCAAGATGGCGATAATGACACCCCCTGTTGTAATAACGTTCAGATCATAGGCATCAATATTTAATTTTTACTTCTGCTATGGCTGTCAGTAGCTATTAATTATTTCAAACCTTTGTTTGATGGATAAGTATATTCGTATGTACGCATCTTGTCTTTAACTAAATATCGATGTTTCTCTATCTCTTTCGTTAATGCTTCTTCTTCGTTAACCAGTTTCCATGACACGTCGTATTGTAGCCTAGTATATAGAATATAAGGATGACTTGGTTTTTCGGGAAAGTAACTTTTAACTAAAGTAACTTATTAAACAAATCCAAATGAGCTCAAATTGTTGAGGTTACTGCGATTCTCATAATTTTGATTTTGGTCTAGCACCTGCTTGTGCCCTCCATCTTGGTTTCAACTGGAAAGATGCCAAGGAAACAATTAACTGAACAGGGTACCCAAAAAGAACTATACGTAGTCAACTTTAAATTTACATGAACAATTTTTAATCTGTGTAGTCTCTAGTTTCAACCTGAAAAATAAGTAATTGCTAGGTTCTCATTTTCATCTTGATCAAAATTTCCTCAGGTGTTTAAATTTTCTCAGGTGTTTCGTGTTATGTTCAAATTCTAGTTCCAATATTATGACCAAAGAAAAAAATAAATAATAATAATAATAATTATAATAATAATAACATTCTTTAATTTGTTTCCCACACTGAAGCGTTTCATGGTACGTTCAGAATCTAGTTTCTTTAACACTATCAGATATTCAATGATTCAGACAATGCTGTAATTGTATAACCACGCATTTTACAGATTCAAAAACCTTCGGTATGGCATGTTATTACAACTTAACACCAAAAGGGAGGGTGGGGTGGGGGGGTGGAGGTGGAGGTGGGGAGGAAGGAATGAAAACAAAACTTCAATATGTGGTAGTAGACTAGTAGTGCATAATTCTGCATCTGCCCTTGTTGCTGGAGAAATTTTGCTGAGTGATATTTAAACAGGTTTCATCATTATTTTCCTCCCAACCAGGGACTTCATCTTCGGTACCCTTACCGTCCGATCTACCATGATGCCCAAAATAGATAGTTTGCCAAGTTCAGACAACTTAGGATGCCTAGGAACCAGTAAAATAAATCCAACTTGTTGCGTTCCAATTCTGGTGCCTGCAGCCAACCTTGTTTACTCGGGGTAATCTTTTCAGTAATGGCGTTTATGATATTAACAAAGGCCGTGCTCAAGAAGTACCCGAAAGAAAGGGATAATAATGCGAAAGAAGTAGAAACAGACCTCATCCCGGAGGGCACTTCTTTGTAGAAAAACTCCATTAGTCCAACCATAGCGAACATATCAGCAATCCCCAAAACCCATATTGGAAAGAAAGCCATAAAAGACTAAAGGGCTCGGCTGGATTCTCAAGTGCTCGATCCCTTCTTTTTATCTCGATTAGACCAGCTATTCCCATCGAGAGAATGGAAAGTACTAGTCCAATGCCTACTCGTTGAAGTAGCGTGATTCCTGTAGCAAGTCCTGTGAATTTTCTAGCGAATGGAACGAACAAAAACTCGTACAATGGAAGGAGAATGGACATAAAGATCAGTGGAATCACAGGTATTGAAGCTGTGGGAATCTTCAAAGAGCCTAAGTAAGGATTCATGAAGTACCTTGGAGTACTGATAATGTCTGCAGTTGTGCTAAACATGTATTCATTATAGTCGTACTGGCAAGGATTGGCGTCATCCTTATAAGAATCTTAACTTCTTCGACTTGTGTTATTGTGCAAATTTTCCAGGGCTCGGGGTTGGTCCCGTCCCTAGGGACAGCTGCTTTGTCGAGACACCTACGTCAAAACTAAAATTTAGTTAGTAATTGGATGTAAAGTTTAAGAAATACCACAGGAAAAACAGCAAAATAGGCACATGATGTTAGGAGTAAATAATAAATGCAATTGTGTTTCGCACGGGTTAAGTCGCTAACAATTAAAAAGGGTCAGACGATTGTGTAAGGGACGAAACCTCTTGAGACAAAGTCCCAAAAAGGGGTGTTCTTTTATTGGCGATGGACTTTAAATTGGGAATGAAAAACAACGTGCCTCCAAGGGGCGCAAGCACACGAGTTACAGAAAAATGTTTAAGTCTAAAAGCTAAGGAAATGAAAATTACATATTCTCTGTTCGAGAGTTTTGGATTCGGTCCTTTGCTTCTGCATCCTTTCTCCCTTTTATACCTCATAGACGATTTCTTTGTGATTAACTACCCTGAAAACTGCTTGATCGTCCTATAACTTCCCACTTTCTTTGTAGTGGCCATTTTGTCATGAAACTGCCTCTTAACTGCTGCCATTATCTTTCATCGTTCAATCGCTTTCGATCGAATTCCTTGAGTCGTGGAACGTGATAATGCTACTTTAACAACTGCCTTGATAATTGCATTCCTTAATAACCACGATGCATTATATTTATTGATACCTTGGGCGACTTGAAGGTTTGGGCGAAAGTGGAATAACAGCTCTGGGCGACCGTATGACACTCCATTCGTTCAGATTCTAGGCGACTCGCAAACTTGGGCGATGGCGTCACCGCATTCTTGGGCCCCTTATTTGGGCCTTCACCTTGATTTGTTCGATTGGACTTCGTTCTTTGGGCTATCCGATTTGGGGATCCTTCAATTGGGCTTTATTCCTTGGGCCGTTCGATTTGGGCTGAATTTTTATGTGTCAACAAATTGATTTAAGATTGTGTAGGAGTACCTGAATTGATTGGTATGTGAAAGTTTTTCTTCAGAAGGATCTCTTTCTTTTTCGTCAACCTGATGTAACTCGTCGGGATTCTCAGGCAAGCTCAAATTTCGGTTTTGAATTGCGGTGATGATGACCTGTAATACCAAGAGATCAGGTATTGGTTACTTCGGGGTGTTGAAGACAAAATTTAAATGAATAATTCTATTTCTTTGATCTGCTTGAACTTTTAAACAAAGTAATTTAACATAGTATCAGAGCATACATAAGATCCTAAGTTTGAGTCTCTCCACACCCATATACCAAATGATAAATATTACCTGTGTTTGGGATCCATTAATTCCAAAATGCATTTCTCTCTCTTATTTTTAATTACACATTCTCTAATAAAATAATATTATACGTAAACCTAAAACTTTTCCTTCTTTTTTATCCACACAATCTTCATAAAATTACTATTACAAAATACATTTTTTCCCAAAAAAACTAATTATAATGGAGCTCAAACAGGGCACTGAATCAAGTTTTTACATGAGGTGGTTTAAAATGGTATCTATAAAAATTAGTACACACATCATAATTTCATTAAAAGAAAACAAATTTAGCATGCACTTGGGTGTGTGTTCTGAAGTCCTCATCTAACAATTTAAGTTTTTAGTTGATGCAACTCAAACTAGAAGAGAGAGAGAGATTATAAACTCTTTGATACCCGAAGAATGGGGCTATTGGCTAATGGTTGGAAGCAATAGAAATGCTTTCCAAGTGCAAGTACCACAAATCCAATAAAGGCAGTAACCAAACCAGTGAAGAAACCCCAGAACCAATCTTTATTCATAGCAATCCATACAACAGCAATAACTCCTATAATTGATCTAATGGTTGCACTAAATTGATAATAATTGAAATAGCTGGCTAAACCCTGTGAACCCTTCTGGTCCTGGTGATCAAATTGATCTGCACCAAGTGCTGCAATGGATCCTTTAACTCCACCAGCCCCTAAAGCCACCAGGCACCATGATGTATACAACATAAATGCTTGTCGACCCTTGATACAGGTCGATTCTGTGCAAGGATCAGGCTGCAAACTTTTTGAGTATGCTTGGATTGTGATCAGCAGTAGACCCTGTTGACGAAAAACCAAAAAAAGTATATGAGTAGGAGGGACGGGGAGAATTTGTTCAAGAAATGAAATCGTAATTGGAATGTTTACCGTAATTTCAAGAAATCCAAAAATCAGGCATGTGTAGAGCCTATTCCAGTATCTGATATGAAGCCTCCCAAGATGGTAAGTAGGAAAGTGGAACCAAGGAAGTTTGTGAGAGCGTTTGCAGCAGTCGAAATATTGAAGTGCATCACCATGCTGAAGTAGAGAACCATAAATGAT